ATCCTTTGGCCTTCACATGTGTGCCCTGCCATACGTGCACACATACATACATACATACATGCATACACACATACATACATACATGAACACACACACACAAACATAAATGCTAATTTTTTTTTAAATTTAAAACTTCTGAACCTGGAACAGCTCTTGGTTATTTTAATGTCACCTCCTGCTACTTCTCCTTGGTACAAAGTCTTTTTAAGTGCAAAAAGCTGCACCCTTGGAAGCCTTGGCTGAATTTTGGGGAGAGAGTAGGTTAGGAACTCTGAGAGATGCTTAGCCAGTAGCTGAGTGGGTGGGACTAATCTCACCCCCAAAAAAGCACAGCCAACCTCTAGGAGCCCAAGGTCACCATTGGGCGGAGCTTCTAGAAGGGGTGATTGGCTATTGGCTGGCTTTGTATGATGTCACTAGAGGCCTTACGGTGAGGCTCCTAAACTTTGGGGTTGGGTGTGGGGGGTCTCAGGCACGTGCCCGGATGCACCCAGTTATTACCCTCTGCAGAGAGTGTGTTTTGCCCTTGGCAGCTTCTCAGCATCCCCCAGCCTGCCCCCTCGCTGTGTCCTCTGCCCTTCGCTTCCGCCCTGTCCTGCTCCCGAAGAGCCAAGGAACCGCTGAGCTCAGCTCTTCCCGCGGCCCTGGGCTCCGGCTCGCCGCCTTTGTCCCCCGCCTTTAAGTCTCTCTGCTGCGGCTCAGCGCTGCGGGGGTGGGGACAGCCGCCCACATCACGCTAGCCACTGCTCGTTTGTGAGCAGAGGAAGCGCGGCGACCTCAGCCGCGGTGCCAGATCCTGCCTCTGAAAAGCCTTGGCTGGGCCGCCCTGCCTGCCGTTTGCCAAATGGCGAATAGGCCGGCTCTGTTCTGGGAGATTCGGGGCGGGGGCGCTTTCGAAGAGGGCCTCACAGGCCTCACGGTCCTCCCTCCCTGCAGGACGAAGAAGAAAATGGATAAAGGGAGGGTCTGCAGTGAGATTCACACTGTCCCTGGACAGAAATGTCACAGGATCTTTAGGCTGAGAGCCTTCGTTGATAATAATAGACAACTAACTGGCCTGCAGGCCATAGTATGCCAATTTAATTGTTTTAAATGTTGCATTTTCCACTCCCAGATTTTCAGTTTTAGAATATATTCTAATCATACAGTGATGGGTTTCAATATGCCTTTCCCATGCATTCCGTCTCGCGTACTTTGATCTTACATCTATCTCCCTCTCACTCTCTAATGTTTCCTCCTGATTTCCACTGGTCTCCTCCCTTTTCTCCTCACGTTTTATTTTTAAGTTCAGATACTACATAGGAGAGAAAAACGTGATTAAGGTTTCCTGGGCCCACCTTAGCAAGAGGATCCATTCCCTGCAAATAACGTAATTTCATTCTGCATAATGGCCGAATTGTATTTCAGTGTGTGTATGTAGATTTTCTTTGGCCGTTGATCTACTGATGAGTGCCTAGGCTGATTCCATAACTTGGTCATTCTGAAAAAAATCTGTAGTAAACATGGGTATGTAGGCATGGCGTTCTCCTGCATTTGATTCCTTCTGGAATATACCTAGGTATGGTATATCCAGATCATCAGATAGTCCGTCTTGATCAATTTCTCTGTTCTGTGCTTAAGATGCATGCCCCACTTGGCTCTTCCTAGTCTTGGCCTGGTGGGTAGCTCCCAGGGAACCATGGTTGGAAGAACCTGGCAACTGACCCCTGACCCCTCCTTCCATGCCACTAGGAAGAATACAGCTTTGAGTGGTTGCCATCTGTGCCCCTCCCCCACCCCCACCCCCAGCCGTAAAGAGCAATTTCTCCTTTCTTGAGGTCCCGGCCACTCTGAGGGCAACCCCCAGAAGTAACGTCATCCAGGGTGGGACCAGTGGACGAGGCTGTTGGAGGGGAGGGTGATGCAATTCTTCAAAAGCTAAAACTGAGAAATCTGTGCGAGCCGAGGGCAGGCCGAGGCTTAGGCCATGAGAGGAAAGAGGCAGGACAAAGTCTCCGGTCTCTGGCCGCCCGGTTGGGCTGAGGGTTCAAAATCTCCGCCAGGCACCAGAGATGAGCTCAGCTGTCACAGGACAGTGTGCCCTAGAGGGCAGGACAGCCCAGTTCCCTGGTTGGCGCTGCCTGAATGGACATGTGGCGCTCAATCCAGCGCTAACAGTGGCAGGAGGGAGGAAGTTTCTAGCAATGTGGGGGTGGAGTATTTGGGGAGAGGAAGCAATGAGGGGCAGGAGGACGCCTGTGGTCTCAGCCTGAGCAGAGGCTGAACGCTAGCCTTCTTGTTTTACTACCTGAGTGGCTGAGCCGCGGTTCCTGCCAGGAAGTGGGGATTGAACCATGGAGGTAGAGAGATACTGGGTGCTGGCTGGCCCACAACCCGCACATGGGAAGGCATCTGTGAGAGCTTCATTCTTCGCTCCCACAGCCACTCATTATCCACGAGACTGACACAGTCTTCCCTCTTCCAGACCATTTGTCCTGAGAACGAGTGACTCGCTCAGGGTCGATGTCCTGTCTCCCATTTTTCCCCTTGGGTGAACTGCCTCACCAATGGCATCCTGGTGTTCTGAATAGGCTAGCACCCCTCATATCAGGATGTTTGGACTGAAAATAGAATCCCAGGAGGACCCCACAACTCTTGGCACCTAAAGCCCAGGCTGACCCTATGTGTACTCTCCCAGACTGCTCTCCTCCACTCTCTTCTTTACTGCCCCCAGCCATTGGATGCTCTGGGGGCTGGCTACTGAAGACCTTGGGAGGCCTCTGACGGCAGGCCTGCTCCCTCTGTCTCCAGGGATGTTGATTCAATCTTCTCCAATCGCCGGCATTGCATCTGCCTGCAGTAATTAAATGGTATTTGAACTGGATCCAGAAATCCCATCACAGACTGCCGCGTGGTAGGGAGGGTGTCTTCAGGAGCTCATACTTGTCTACACAGTTGGAGGGTCCTTCCAGGCTGCCGCAGTATATCTTCAGTTCACCCACGTGCTCGGGAGGAAGCGTCCAGTCTTAGGGCAGAACCAAAGCTCTAATTTCTATGCTATGCCATGCCTCACTCTCTGCAGCTGCCCATGCTCTCCAGGAGTGTCTGAGGCTTCCCTCCACTCTCTGAGCCCTACAGCAGGGCTGTGGTAGGGCTAGTCCATCTAGCCTGCCTGGGCTTGGAATGGCTCCTCACTGTCTGTGACTCTGAATGACACCATCCGGGTTTCCTTATCTGTCAGTAGGGCGCTAGTGATGACCTCCTGGGGTGGTTGTGAGGTTAAGATGTCTCAGTTCCTAGGCATTGCCTGGCATGCAGTGAGCTCTGTGTGTGTCAGCTGCAGGGGGTAGGGCAGAGGAAGAAGTCAAGGTAGGAGCCTGCTGGCCCTGATGTCTGGGGGTGGGGGTGGTTGTGGGGAGAGAGGTTTCTGGTCTGGAGGTCCGGAGTGAATGTATGAGAATCAATTTTGCCCTTTTCTGTCAGGAACCAGTTCAGGTGAGCAGAGTCTGGGGAGCTCCCATCTTGGTGTGGCTCTTAACAGTTATGGAAGGGTGGGGACTTGTTCGGGCTTCCATCTCTTTCTGGAGAGAGCCACTCAGTAAAGGGACTGTTTATACCTCAAAGGAAACAAGGTTTTCCAAAGAAAGCCAGACTCCCACATATGAGTAGAGACTTGCCTGAGCCCCCCCCCCCCCCCGCCACATCCCCTATGGCCCCCACGCCCTCCATCCCCCACACACACCTGCCCCGCCCCGGTCCACTCATCCACAGCAGAGGGCAGCAACAGCCATGGGATCTCCTCACCCATTGGATTGCTCTGGGCGGGTCTCTGGAGGTTGAGGTAACTGGGACAGGGACAAGAGGGTGACTTGGAGACACCAGGCTCTGCAGCGAGGCGCCTCTGGGCCTTGAGTGGGTGCTGGCCCGGCCTGGCCCCTTTCGCTCCTTTCTCCTCTTGGTAAATGTTGGCTTAGGGAGAGGGGCCTGACAAGCAGTTCATTGTAAGTGCACAGTTGATGGGTCCACTTGTGTGAGCCCATGGCAGTAGAGCCTACCCCCACCCTTGCTCCAGGATATCTGAAGGATGCTCTCTGCTCATCCTCACACACGCATGCTTACTGACTCCGGCTTAGTTGCCATGGGGACCTCATCATGGGGATGCAGCTTAGAAAAGGAAATGAGGGGTGGTTGGGTGGAGACAGTTCTGCCCATGGCTAGCTCCCTACTCAGTACTGACGCCACCTCTCCCTCGAATGGGGATCCCTCCTCCGAGTCAGGATCTGGGATGTGGGCCCACCTGGCAGCTGACTCAGGGTCTCTTCTCATTGCCTTGACAGGGTACCTTTCACTTGACCTAGACTGCCCTGGTTGTGTTTGGTTTGGCCCCTCAACTCCTGGAAAGAACCAGAACTTGTGCCTGAGAGCGCCATTAGGCCCTGGCACCTTGGGAGGTGGCTGGGGCACTGAAGACCCTTGTAGCCTCCACAGGTCTCAGCAGAGATGCTGACCTTCTCCCAGACCGACTGTCACAGAGGAATGTGATCCAGAGTTATGCAGAGCCACCTGGCCTGTCCCTAAGCTTTATCTGTCCAGAATGAGCTATCTGTCATCTCCTTACAAGAGGGATACTGACTTCCAGGCCTCTGGGGGACGGGGGCGGGGGGGGGGGTGTGCCTTTACCCAGGTTTGGCCCCTTCGCTATCTATTGGACATCCTTGGGTCAGTCACTGAGACAGTCTCAGCCTCATGTGTACAACCAAGCAAACAGATCCCTTGCAGGTTCACAGCGAAGGACACGTGAATTCGTTTATATATGCTTAACAGAGATTCCGGGTACCAAGTGTTCAATCAATGTTAGCAACCATTGGTTTGGGTGATACTCATGTGCATTACTGAAGTTGTTTCCTTAGGGCTTCCTACCTGACTTCCTTCCCTGGCTTGTGAGGTAAACAGAACTATGGCTGGTAATGTGAGAGGAGGGCCTGTCACCTACACCCAGCTACTCTTTCCACCCTGCACAGGATCAGGCCCCAGCTGTCAAAGGAGAAGATTGAAGGCTGTCACATCTGTACCTCCGTCACCCCTGGGGAGCCCCAGGTCCTGCTGGGGAAGGACAAGGCCTTCACCTATGACTTTGTCTTTGACCTGGACACCTGGCAGGAGCAGATCTATTCGACCTGTGTGAGCAAGCTCATCGAAGGCTGCTTTGAGGGCTACAATGCCACAGTGCTGGCCTATGGACAGGTAAGCCACCCCTGCCCCAAACAGTGGCTATTCCAAGCTCAGTCTCCCCCACCCAACGGGGGAGAAAGGCCCACCGGACAGCAGTCAGCCAAGGCCCAGCTGTGCAGTTTCGTCTGGCATCTGAGTTATGACTGCATGGCTGGCTAGCCGAGGCAGGCTTTCATCAGAGAATTTTGTAGGGTATGGCTCTGGGTTCGAAAAGGGGCCACTTGGCTGGAGGTAATGGGTAAGAGGATTTGGCCCAAGCCAAGGCTTACTGGTTCCCCAGGGGGCACTGCATCCACCATCTGCATTCTGTCTTTGCCATTGCAGACAGGGGCTGGGAAGACGTACACTATGGGCACCGGCTTTGACACAGTGACATCAGAAGAGGAGCAGGGCATCATCCCAAGGGCCATTGCACACCTCTTCAGGGGCATCGATGAACGCAAGCGGCGGGCACAGGAGAAGGGCGTGACTGGGCCCGAGTTCAAAGTCAGCGCCCAATTCCTGGAGGTACTATGGCCTTGGAGCGTGGTCGGGAAGGAGATACATTGGAACCTAAGGCCATGGAAGGTGGAGCCTCCAACAGTGCAGAGAAATGAACCTAGGGAGCCCTGAGCTGCAGAGGATGAGTTCCCTGCTGCTGGGAGTGTCTAAGCAAGGGCTAGAGAAACACTTGGGGGTAGCTGAAGTGTTTCCTGCTTCAGATGGGGCCTAAGATCTCCTCAGACCCTGGCTGATCCTGACCCTGCCCTAGGGCAGGTCATGTGACCACCCTGAACTACTTCTGCAAAGTGGTTTTGACCTCTTTCCTGGGGGTTAATGAGTCATGCGTGGAAGCCTGTACCTGGCACACGGTGGGAACCCTGCCTCTGTCACCGTGTTCCGGCCCCACCAGGCCCTTCCTCTGCCTCTAAGCACCTACCTGTATCTTTTGGACTGAGACGCATCCTGGCCTCTCAGTGCAGAAGGGTCTCCCTGCAGGGGCTTTGCTTCGTTCTGGTCCTCCAGCTTTGGACCCTGAGCTGTGCAGCCACAAGCTTTGGGGAGTACGTGGGGGGGGGGGATCTCTGGGCTCGTTCTCATTTGGATTGTCCCCTAACTAGGTGCTGTATCCTGGAGATGGCCTTCTTGGGGGGAATAAAGGTCCAGGAAGGTGATCCACCTTGGTATTTCTCACAGGAACCTGACCAGGCTCCTGTGAAATGTGTGGTTGGGTGGTTCTGATTCTCAGCATCTAGTTTCCGATACCAACGAGCCCTGCTCTGGTGTGTTTAGTGGGTTCGGAACCACCCTGGTCCCTAACCTCCCAACCCTGAGGCTTTAACAGAACCTTGTTTGCCCCCAGCGGGATGGACAGGGCTGAGGCTTGTCCCTGTATACTGCCCAGTCTCTTTCCTGTGCACCCGTGGTTGCCGCTTTCCCCATAAGGGACCTGTGTTTTAGTCCTCGTATGTGTGTTCATGTGTGGTTGCCCAAGTGTTTGTGAGTATGCGTGTATGTACACGAGTGTTTGTGTTGCCTGTGTGTGAATGTGTGTATGCATGCTTGTTTACACGAGTGTGTGTGTCTCTCGCTGTCTGTCTGTCACTGAGCTTTTCTCCGTTTCCTTCCCTTTGCCGCTCTGTGGCCGTGGAGAACTTCAAAGAGCATACTAGTAAATTCAGGCCACAGGGCTGATCGTAAGGGGTTAACTGAGTCAGTGTGTCTACCCCAGTGTGCGGACACCATGGCACTCTGTCTCCACCACCTCTCCCTTCTGTTTCCTCTTCCCCTTCCTGTGGGGTATTTTTACCCTTTAAAGCCATCAAAGCCTCGGATGTCCCCTCTCTGGCTCCACTGGACTCTACTGGGCAATGCCCTTCTCCCACTCTGCCCCCCACCCCCGCTGCCCTGCCTTTGCCTTTGCCATCACAGCCTTTCAGCCGTTGGATTTCCCCACAGCTCCAATCACAGGAACCCCCTCAGCAGACATCTGAAATGGGCTGGCCGCTCCTGACCACCTGGCACAGTGGTCTTCCAGAAGGCCGGTCCGCGGTGCCCATTATTTCTCCCTCTGCTCCTGAGCACTGGGCAAGGCACACAGCCATTCTTCCTCTGTCCAAAGATGTTATAACTTCTCCCTCAGGGACCACAGTGCTCAGGGCACCATCTCCCTGGACTCTTGGAGCTCTGCTTTCCTTCATCTGGAATCACAGCCTCGTGCCATCTCTGCCAGGCTGGCGATATGATGAGATGCTCCCAGTTCAGGCTCATGTCTTCCTGTCCCTTACCCCTAGGACCTGCATCGCTTTGTCCTTGTCCTCAGCCTCCCTTGGGGAGCTGAGAGCTGCTGGATACTGTTCCTCAGGGAGTAGAGCAGCATACAGAGCCTCGGGGTAGCACTGTCTAGGAAGACCAGGGTTCAGCAAGTTCAACTCCAGAGCTTGTTTCCACTTTAGCAAATCGAAATGGAATATAAATACGAGGAAGGCCTTGGGGCTCTGGGCCATGTACCATAGGAACCCAGCCATGGTTTCCTTCCCATCACAGCTCTACAACGAAGAGATCCTTGACCTGTTCGATAGCACCCGTGACCCGGATGCCCGCCACCGCAGGTCCAACATCAAGATCCATGAGGATGCCAACGGTGGCATCTACACCACAGGCGTCACTTCTCGTCTCATCAACTCCCAAGAGGAGGTGAGCACCCTTACACATGGGCATCTTTAAAGCCCAGAGCCAGCTGGGCAGTGGTGGCACACGCCTTTAATCCCAGCACTCAGGAGGCAGAGGCAGGTGGATCTCTGTGAGTTCGAGGCCAGCCTGGTCTACAGAGCGAGTTCCAGGAAAGGCGCAAAGCTACAGAGAAACCCTGTCTCAAAACACAAAAAACAAACAACAAACAAAAAACCATAAAGGCCAGAGCCCTGCAGCACGTGGGTCCTGATTCCTCTCTTTACGTCTGTCCCCAGCTGATCCAGTGCCTGAAGCAGGGCGCCCTGTCACGCACCACAGCCAGCACCCAGATGAACGTTCAGAGCTCCCGATCCCATGCCATCTTCACCATCCACCTGTGCCAGATGCGCGTGTGTGCCCAGCCTGACCTGGTGAGATGCTCTTGGCGGCCCAGGAGCTACCTGCTCTAGGGGTATCCCAGGGACTGGATGAACACACTTGGGACAAAGCTAGAACTCCAGAGATGGGGCTTGCCTATACCACTCTGTTTTTCAGCCTCTTCAGCCTCTCCCCGCATCTAGGCAATGGGATAATGGTCATTGATAATGCGTGCAAATACAGTGTTTGCTTCCAGATGCTCTGCACACGTGAGGGGCTGGCACTGTGCCGTCCGCCCTCGCTCTTGTGGATGGTGGTGCTGTGGGGTGGAGGGCTAGCCGAGGAACAGGAGGTAGGGCCTGGGTGAGCCAGATGTCACATTCTGCGGCAGGTGAATGAGACGGTGACGGGGCTTCCGGACGGAGCAGCCCCCACCGGCACTGAGTATGAGACACTCACTGCTAAGTTTCACTTTGTGGACTTGGCCGGCTCTGAGCGGCTCAAGAGGACAGGAGCCACAGGCGAACGGGCCAAGGAGGGCATCTCCATCAACTGTGGTCTGGTAGGTACACGGAGAGTCACCGGCCCCAGGAGCCAGATGGGACAGGTTCAAGCAGGCTGTGTACTTCGGTGGCTGCCCAGTCCTCTTTGAACTTCTTCTAGCTGCTGGCTGGGGCACCCATAGTCACGCCTGTTGGGTGGGTGGGTCTTCCTTTCTTCACCCTCAGGCCGGTTTATCACATCAGTCTATAAACCCACCCAGGAGCCTGCGTGATGCTGGGGCCAGAGGGTACAGACGGTGTTGGGTTGTGTTCACTGCCCTCTTTGCATGACTTTTGACCTCAGGCACTTTCTCCCACAGCTGGCCTTGGGCAATGTGATCAGCGCCTTAGGGGACCAGGGCAAGAAGGTAGTGCACGTGCCCTACAGGGACTCCAAGCTTACTCGGCTGCTCCAAGACTCTCTGGGGGGCAACAGGTATCTGATGACCGATGTCCAGGAAGGGTGGGGAAGCTCCTGGATAGAGAATACTGATGTGGGTTTAGGGCCTGACTCTCAGGACCTAGGGGGTCTTCTCAGCCTAGGCTGCAGACTCGGAGGCAGGAACCTTGAGGGGTTCAATGACTCGTGGCTAGGTAGACTCGTCTTCATTACTTCTCAGCAGTGAGAGACAGGCCTGAAGGAAGCCATGTAGCCCAATGAGACAAGCCATGGGAACTGCCAGGCCTGCAGAGAGGCCATGCCGTATTTACTTTACCAAGCAGATGATTCTACAATTAGGCATCCATCACCTTTTGATAACTGCTTTCAAGAATTGTCCTCTCTTGCTGTGGAAGATCTTGGCCAGGTGGTCCAGGGTCCTACATCCCAGGTTCCCGGGCCTTTAAGCGTTAAATTGGGGAGAGGATCCGGGTGAAACAGAACCTCTGCTCTGGAGCAGTGCTCCTGGGTCTGGCTTTGTCCTTGGTCCTCACCCAGCCTGGTTACACTCTTAGCCAGACCATCATGATCGCCTGCGTGAGCCCCTCAGATCGGGACTTCATGGAGACGCTGAACACTCTCAAATATGCCAACCGGGCTCGCAACATCAAGAACAAGGTGGTGGTGAACCAGGACAAGACCAGCCAGCAGATTAGCGCGCTGCGAGCCGAGATTGCGCGCCTGCAGATGGAATTGATGGAGTACAAAGCGGTGAGCACTCCCAGGCTCCCCCAGGCTCTCCTAGAAGGAGCTGGTGCTCTGCTCCACACCCTGCCCTGTAGCATCCCCAAACCAGGTCCTGAGTGGGCCTCCCACCTTCCCATCACCCATCCATTCTCATGTCTGCTACACATTACTGTGCATCAGATGTGGTTCCCAGTACTGGGTTTTATGGCAAATCCTTCTCAGACTGAGCCATCTAGGCTTAGAATACAAAGTCTAAGAATTTGAGCACCTTGGCTTTGTAGCATGGGTGTTTGGCTCAGGGAAGGTGCTTCGCAGGTGCTTGTATGCCCGCTGAATGTATCGTGTTGCAATAGACGAGACCACTCCACTATAGTGCAGTCCTTGGCAGTGGGGGGCACAGGAGTGTGCTCCAGGGGCAGAGGAGTCAGCCTGCTTGCTCGGGTGGTCAGGAAGGGCTTTTTGGAAGGGGCCTTTCATGTAGATTTTGAAAAGCAAATGGCGTATCAGCAGGAGGCCAGCAGGCATTCTGGGTAGAGAGTAAGCCATATGAAATACCAACAGGAAAGAGAAAAGCAGGTGCTCCGAGGGGCACGTCTAATTCTATGTATCCAAGGCTGACGTCACCCGCTGGTGGCCCGTAGCCTGAATCTGGCACACAGATGGGTGGGCTTAGACTTGGTTTCAGAAGAATGCAGCTTGTTTGACAACTTTTCTAGAAGTCAAGCAGGGAGTCTCAACTTGTGTGGAAGAATTTGCCTCTACCAACAACTGGCGCTAAGTTGGCTGGAGTGAGTGGCCGTGTTTATTATATGAAGGAATTTCATAATGCAAACACAAACACACTGCACATGGACAATCACATCCTGTCTGTGAGCTGTTAAGTCACCGACCTCCTTTGCAACTCGGGACACGGACAGCATCAAGGCAATGAAGCGATTTCAAGTTCTGCACTGCTAAAATTTTACCCTTATAGTAGTCTCTTCTTTGACTAAGCAAGGATTGTAGTAACATTCGTGGGCAGAAGTAGAGGGGGCTTTGAAAGGGTGAAATTCGTTAGTTTACAACATTAACTTTTTATTTATACAACAGACAGCTCTGTGAGCCCAGTGTTCTGGTGACCGCGTGTGTAGTGGCTGATTTTAGCTTTAAGGTAGACAGTTAAACGTGAGAGAGCAAAGAGAGCGGCTGCCTCTTCCAGACTGTGACTTTTCTCCGCTCCAGTCCCCACCGCTCCCTGTTGTCTTACACCCAGACTGACTCACCCCTGTATGCCAGTTGCCTGGCCCAGGTAGGGTTTTGTCACTCAGTTTAGCATTCATTGTGGAGAATGAAAGTGAGTGATAGGAAGGTAAGTCAAGAATTTGGACTTTTTTTGCTGTCAGGGAGCAAACTGTGTGTTTTAGTTTCTTTGAGACAGGACCTCTCTATGTAGCCCTGGCTGTTCTGGAGCTCGCTTTGTAGAACAGGCTGGCCTTGAACTCACAGATCCACGCTTGCCTCTGCCTCCTGAGTACTAGGATCAAAGGTGTGCGCTACCACCTCCAGGCTTTTTTTTTTTTTTTTTTGGTCTAATTATGTAGTCCAGGTTGGGACTCACATTGCCCAGGCTGGTCTTGAGTTTGTGACGCTCATGCCTCAGACCTCCAGGCAGTGAGATTAGAAGCAGTGAGCCCCATAGCCAGTGCTGTAGAAGCAAGTACTGTAAGCTGTTGAGCCTTGAGAGACAGGAGCTAGGTCAGGAAACCTGGAGAAAAGGAGAGACCAGAAGTGCTACCCTGCGCTGGAGAAGGCTGAAGGCAGGTGGAAGTGGATTGTCACTGTAGCCCTCCCATGAGAGAGGACTGCCACTGTACCCCTCCCTTGAGATCTAGCACCTGATTGTTCCCTGCCTGTCTCTGTCCCAGGGCAAGCGGGTGATTGGGGAGGATGGTACAGAGGGTTACAGCGACCTGTTCCGGGAGAATGCCATGCTGCAGAAAGAGAATGGCGCTCTGCGGCTTCGAGTGAAGGCCATGCAGGAGGCCATTGATGCCATCAACAACCGGGTCACACAGCTCATGAGCCAGGAGGCCAACCTGCTTCTGGCCAAGGCTGGTAAGTTGGGGTACAGCGGGCTAGCTCGGAACAGCAACATGCCGCCTTCCGCTCCTGCCCCTTGGTATCAAGCAGGCTGTGGTGGCCAGCCAATGCACAGATTAGTTCATTTAGGCGTCCCCCAACAGTTCAGCATGGCACACACATTGCTTTCTTGTTAAACATGTAAGAGCCACACAGCACACTAAGCAAAAGATGAAAACTCCCACCGCAGACTCTCCACCCACATCTTCTCTGCCTTCGGAAGGATCCTTCCTGAGCAGCCAAGTGCGTGTTTTCCCACACTTTCTCAGTACATTTGTTTTGAGTATAAATGCGTTTGAATATATATCATTTGTACGTGTGTGAATACTATGCATGGCATTTTCTGTATATGAGGTCATCCTTTCTATTTTATGACTTCCTTTTTTTTCCATTTAGCATCATGGCTTATAAATCTCCATATTCAAAGGCACTTAATTTTTTAAATGACTGCACAATGTTCCATATGTGATGTTGAATAATTTATTGAACAGCCACTGTTGATGGATGTTAGGATTGTTTCCGATTTCATGCCATTATCCAACAGTGCCTTGATACAACTATGATCATGTTCAGGTGTTTCCTTCACATAGATTCCCTTATGGAAAAGCCTGTGTGAGCTACCGTGTTGGGAGCACAAGTAAGGCCACCAGTCTTAGAGCCGTGGCCCCAGTCCTTGCTGTTGCCAACTGTTTTCATTATTGCGCCTGTTTGTCTTCTCCGTTCAGGTGACGGCAACGAAGCCATTGGTACTCTGATCCAGAACTACATCCGGGAGATTGAGGAGCTGCGGTGAGTAAGCCCCATCCAGTGTGAGCAGGCTGGCTGGACGGCTCTGGCCAGGCCAGTTTTATGCGGCTCACCTGGCCCCACCCACGCACTCTGTCCACACAGAACCAAGCTCCTGGAGAGTGAGGCCATGAATGAGTCCCTCCGCCGAAGCCTCTCGCGGGCTTCCACTCGTAATCCCTACTCCCTGGGAGCATCTCCAGCAGGTCCAGCCTTCGGGGGCAGCCCGGCCAGCTCCATGGAAGATGCTTCTGAAGTGATCCGAAGGGCCAAGCAAGACCTGGAGCGGCTGAAGAAGAAAGAGGTCAGGCAGCGGAGGAAGAGGTAAGTGGAATGTCACTACCTCCCCCACAGCCAGTACATCGGAAGGTGGGCACCCCCCACACCACCCAGGAGGACTGCTCCCCACCCCTCCGCAGGCTCACCCCATTCCTAGGGGCATCACCAGTAATGCTTGGGAATTTCTCAAGCACTAACTCAGCTGGAGCAAAGCTACCTCTCTAGCCTTCTCTTGGGTGCCTTTTCCACAGGGTTAATTAATTGCAGGAGATAGAGCAGGGTTGGGGGTGGGCACTGGAGAAGTAGATCTGGTTCTCTACAAAGCAGGAACCCAGTCCTACCGCCATCCTGTGGTGTCAGTCTCTAAGCTGGCTTCATTTTCATTCCATAAGCAGCCCAGAAAAAGAAGCCTTCAAAAAGAGGGCAAAACTCCATCAGGAGAACAGTGAGGAGACGGATGAGAATGAGGCCGAGGAGGTGAGGACTCCCCCGGCCTTCCTCACCATGGCCTTCCCACCATGTCCCTGTTGGGGTAGAGATTTCATCAGTGTCGTGTGGGGCGGGGCAGAGATTTGCCTTCCATTGATCCTTGGGTTTCTTGATAATGCTGACTTGTTGCCATGGTGATCTCCATCCCTCGGGCCTTTGCTTCATCCAAAATGGATGAAGCTAGACTGAGCATCCTCCACAAAGGCATTGCCCAGGCTACTAGGAGTGGATGGTCTTCCCAGAGGAGGGCATGGCTGGCCCCCACCCTGGCTGATATCCCTGAGGTCTTGTGTGTGGCCCAGTCTCTGCCTCGGGGCTCCCATCTCCCGAGGCAGGTGCAGCAGCCCTAATGGTACATTGTGCCTAGGAGGAGGAAGAGAGAGAAGAGAGTGGCTGTGAGGAGGAGGAAGGACGTGAGGATGAGGATGAAGACTCGGGCAGCGAAGAGAGCCTGGTCGACTCAGACTCGGACCCTGAAGAAAAGGGTACGTGGACCGGGGCTGAGGAGATGAGTTGCTTGTGGCCAGTCCCCATGGTGGGACTGTCGATCAGAACTTGGCTCCCAAGAGAAAATTCAGATGGATCCGGGTGGGGTCGGGCCTGCTAGCGTGCCCAGAGACGGCTTGTCTAGACAGGGCTCGGACTCCTGCATGTGAAGCCAACTAAAACAATAGTAATGACAAGTGATGGGAAGCGCTCGGCTCTCCTTATATGCCCATCACTGTGCTTTGCTTGACTCTTCTCAAGGCTTGATGAATCCAGAGCTCACTACTGCCTTGTGCAAAAGTATTAGGCTTTGCTGAGTTGCCACTGAGCATGCTCAGAGAGGTTCCTGACCCACTTGGGTGGATTCAGAAAGGGGTTAACTTTCTTACCTTTCTGAATGAATGACTTGGGCCGATGCCAAGACCCTCTTCTTCATGTGGAGACATCTGTCCTTCAGGTCCGTCCTGTTGTCATCTGTTACCTACAGCCCTACAAAGTGCTCTGGATCATTTTATCCTCCTCCACCCAAGCAGGGTCCCATGTCATCAGTCAGGGTGGCATAGGCCTATGGGTCCATTAGGGTGGGAAAGGTGTTAGACTCCGTGCAAGCTCCTGAGACTGGCTGTGCATTTCGGAAGCTGCTCATTGAATGTATTGCAGTGAGTGAAAGGTGGCAGCAGGCTTCTTACCTTTCTGGTCCCTGATTGGTCACTGCTGACAAAAGATGTCCCCTGGCCCGGGGCCCCTGGCATGGGGCTGAGTCTCGCTCTGTCTGGCCCCTGCAGAAGTCAACTTCCAGGCCGACCTGGCGGACCTGACTTGTGAGATTGAGATCAAGCAGAAGCTGATTGACGAGCTGGAGAACAGCCAGCGGCGGCTGCAGACCCTCAAGCACCAGTACGAGGAGAAGCTGATCCTGCTGCAGAACAAGATCCGGGACACGCAGCTGGAGCGCGACCGCGTGCTGCAGAACCTCAGTGAGGACAGCGCCGTGTTCCTCTTTCCCGATTCCCTGCTCTGTCAAAAGACACCCAGCATCGATCTGCTAACACCTGGCCTTCTGCACAAGGGACCCCTGACCAACGTGCTGTGACCTCTGCCCATAGTTAAAGTGCTCTAACCCAGTTTCTCTGCTACTTTTGTTTTGCTTTCAAATTACATTTGTGTGTGTGTGTGTATGTGTGTGGATGTGAGTGGATGTGTGCGTGTGTGCATGCACACGCATGTGATGTGGCACACATGTAGAAGTCAGAGGACAACTTGCAGAAGCCTGTCCTCTCCTTCCACCATCTGGGTCCCAGGGATTGAACTCTGGCAGCAAGTGCCTTTCTCTGCTGAGCCATTTTGAGACAGAGTCTTGCCATGTCACCCAGGCTGACCTCAAACTTATGGCAATCTTTCTGCCTCAGCCTCCCTAGTGGTAGAACCATAGACAGATGCCATTATGCCTAGCTCTTTTTTTTTCCTCTCTCATCTTATATATTAGAAATCATTAATTCTTTATCTCCCTAGGCATGTGACTAAGATACCTCCCAACCTCCCCCCACCCCGCTGTATCCAGTTTATAAGACTTCTCAAATCGTGCCCCCCTTGTACTGCTTTGCAACCTACTCTTCCGGTCATTCACTTCCTTGTCCACTTACTCAGCAAATGTTAGGTGAATGTGTTTCATGGAGCAGGTGTTAGTCTAGGGGCTAGAGTTGTGGTGTGTAAAATCCCCCTCATGGAGTGTACACTCGAGCAGCATTGCTAGCAGGCTGGCCTAATGAAGTTGGCTTTTTGTGTGTTTGTTAATATGGAAGGGGGGTGAGGCGCTTAGGGGTGGGGCAGGCTGGGCCATGGGAGACTACATGGAGAAGGTAACCTTGGAGTCAAGCAGCACAGAGCAGAACTAGCACTGGGAAGAACATTCCAGACCGGGGGAACAGAAGCTGTTAAGACCCCCAAGGCAGCCATGTGCCTGGCATATTGGTGGAATGGCGGTCTAGACTAGTCGGAGAATAGGTCGTGTCTGTCGTTAAGATGTTTCCTTGACTTAGAGAATCGAGAGGGTAGGGAGTTTTGAGGGAGAGGTGATACAAGACTCAAAAGCATTTTCAAACCATCGTTTTTGCTGTTGTATGGGAGGAGGAAAGTGGAAGCGAGAGCACTGAGGAGGCAGACTGGACAGGTGGTAAGATGTGGTCAGGTTCAAGTATTTCAAAGGCTGAGCTGAAGACTTGGCTGTGTGGACAGGCGGTGTGGTGGATACGGGAGCCGTGTCTCAGGATTCGAGCCTCTGGGCAGGAGGCGGTGAGGTTTTCTGAGATGGAATGAAAGGTGGAAGTCGGGTTGGACCTGCAGTTGGGGACTTCTCTTCGCCGTGGTGGGAGCGTCTGGTGAGGAGCCAGCTTTTCCTTCCCTTGAAGTTCCATTAGACCAGTTCTTCTTGTTAACCTTCCGCTTCCTGCTGGCATCACCTCTCCAGGGACCGAGGTCTCAGTCCAAAAACACTACTGGACAATAGAATGTCAGAGCAGGAAAGGGCCCAGGGCAGCTGCTGAACCCACATCCTCATTGTTCAAATGAAGGAGTCGGTTCAGGGAGAGGCCAGCTATAGAACCCAGGGCCTCTCTCCCCATTGAGGCCACACTTAGTGGGAGCCGGGGAGCCTGTAGCTCTGACACTGCTTTTCGCTGCTCTCAGGCACCATGGAGTGCTACACGGAGGAGAAGGCCAACAAGATAAAGGCGGATTATGAGAAGAGGCTGCGCGAGATGAACCGGGACCTGCAGAAGCTGCAGGCCGCTCAGAAGGAGCATGCCAGGCTCCTCAAGAACCAGTCCCGCTACGAAAGGGAGCTGAAGAAGCTGCAAGCGGAGGTCGCCGAGATGAAGAAGGCCAAGGTAGGCAGAGGACATGAGGAGTAGGGCCTAGGGGCCTGTGCGGTGTCTTAGGATCCGCATCCCACGTTAAATATGATCCCACTGCCGTCAAGTGTGGCTCTTCGACCGAACACAGCATCACCCGATTCGATCCCGCCCCAATCGTGCGCACTCCCTCCTAGTGACCTCTTCCAGTACTGGGCTCATTGCAGGTGCCTTGCTCAATGCTGTCGCTGTGTTGGGAAGCTGGACTAACAGTTGCGTTATTAGTTTATTAGCATATATACTAGTATATTAGCACTATAGCTGTACTAATAGTTCCTGCCTGCACAAGGAAGCCTTAAGGCCTCATTTGGAAGAAGCCTCTCGTCATAGTAATAATTGGCACCATGGCCAGCTCTTGCTGCTTAGGCCTCTTGCATGCTCAGTCATGCTCAGTCACATTCCATCCTTAGGAAAGGAGGACAGCATTTCCATTGTGTTCATGGAAGTTGATTCCCCGCTACCAGGAGGTAGTGCTGGCATGCAAATTCCACCTTTGATGTTCCAAACTGGTGTGTGTTCTTGGTGGCTCTGGGCTCCCTTCTCTACCTGGCCGTAAGCCCATGCAGCACAGTCTGTAAGGTCTGCTCTTTTGATGTCACTGGCTCAGGTCTTGAACTTCTGGTATCTAGGGCTCGCAGATCCTTGCTCTGTGTATATCCTCCATCGCCCTTGGACCTTCCTGCCCTGGCCTTTAGCTTCTGGTGTCTCCCAGCTCTCCACAGCTCAGCTCTGGGGCTAGATCCCTAACAAAGCTTGGCAAAGGTGGTAGCCCCAGCAAGCTGAGTCCTTTGGGGACTCATGGAACAGGAGCCATTAGGAACTATGTCTTGACGGCTGGCTGACTGATGCTGACCAGTGCATACAGGAAGGACAAAGTTAATCGATTTTAGAGGAAATGGATCTGTACCTGGGCGGGCTCTGTCCCCCAGGCAGGTCTAGAGCCTCCATCCACAGATGAAGAAGTCCTTCCCTGCCTTGCTGTGATCAAACCATCATGGCCCCAAAGAGCCCATTCTCACTTCCAGCACCTCCACCCTGTAGACATGATGCCATTGATGGTAGAAGGAGCTGGGATTCAAACACCCAGAGTCCTCTGGGCCCCTGGAGCCCTTTGGTAATGCAGAGAGGGCCCAGTGAGCTTTATCCGTAGGCTGTCTGTAGTCCACTGTGGCCTGGGCCTTCTGCAGATACTGCTGAGGCAACTTTAACATGCCTTTGACAGGCTTGAATTTGTTCGTGCCCCCTCCAGCACCCCCCCCCCCCAGATTTCTTACTGGTGCCTCTTCAGGGTAGTCCAACTCTCCTAGCCAGCTCCCATCTTGAGTGGAAATGACCCAAGAAAACCTCACAAGGGAACACTCTCATAGAGTCCTGAAACTTGGAAAAAACAGCCAAAATGCCCAAGACGTGGTACAAAGACAGAGGCATCCACACATGTATGTTCTTCATTTTCAGACCTCTGAGGCCCTTCATCCAGGACCTAGCCCTGCCCACCTGACTCCGCTCTTGTGATTACACTCTTGTGACATGTGGAGAAGAGGAGCCTAGGGTTATCTCAGGGGTGCCTGAGCAGGGCCCCGGTTCTTCCCTAGAGGGGTGGAAAGAGGAGCAGCCAAGGACTGTAAGCAGAGCCTGTGCCTGCAGATCTTGGCTGAGAGAGGCCCACAGCTTCAGGGTCTCCTGCAGGAGAACTGCAGAGCAATGCTGTCTCAGCACGGAGGCCCATTTCCGCACTGTCCTGTGCCGAGCACGTGCTCACCTCCCTGCGGTGAGGAATGCAGACACACGTGCAGGTTACCTCGAGGAGCCTGGATCTGGGAAGTGAGATGACCCAGGCTCCAGGTCTAGCCAGCTCTTCCTAGCTCTGTGACTGTTAGTCACTTTGTCTCGAAGGCTCATTTCTTTCCTTTCTCATCTGAGAGTCATAAGGATGGGGCCTGCCATGGAGCAAGCTCTCGTTACGTGGCTGTCACTATGAGATTGGTCCTGAGGATGGTGACTTTTAGTGGGGGGCTGGGATAGACTTTAAATGGTAAGGCCACTTCTTCAACAGCTTGTCAAGGTATCTGAGCCCCTCAGGATGAGTGGGAAGGAAATGTTACGTGTCAGACCCCCAAGTCAGGGAAGCCTAGAGGGCTACCTCCCTGACCCATGTCCTCACAACCAGCCATGACTGAGCCCCGTGGGCCACTCTTGCCCGGCCCTGCCTCACCTTCACCGTCTCTGCCATCCCAGGTGGCCCTCATGAAACAGATGCGTGAGGAGCAGCAGCGGCGACGACTGGTGGAGACCAAGAGGAACCGGGAGATTGCTCAGCTCAAGAAAGAACAACGGAGGCAGGAGGTGAGAGCTCCCCACAGCCTCCAGCCTCCTTCCCTTCCAAGGACCCCCCCCCCCCAGTTCCTACTGTCCCAAGTGACAACAGCACAATACAGCCTATCAGACAGGCAGAGCCACTGTTGACTTCTGTCCCAGCCCCTGCATGCTCAAGAAAATAACTTGAGTCCAGAGAAGGGCGTGAAATTTCCCAAGGTCACCAGCAAAATCAGACACATGGAGCTTCAGATCCAGAAGAAGTAGCCTAGGAAGACTGGGCCTCTAGTCCAGGTTCATGTTCATGGTAGGCGATATAGCCAAGAGAGTTGTCCTTGTGGGCAGGAATTCCTCATGGCCACCCCAGACAGAAGGGTGCAACTCCGAGTATCATTTTATCTACATTTTGGCAGTGTGGGAATCCCCACACAAGAAAGTCTTGAGCTTTTGGCTACAGAGCGCCCAGCCTGTCTCCAGCCCTGTCTGGACAGCAAGAGGGCTGTTGGTCGCTGAGTGTGGCCCAACCTGTTTCTTCCAGTTTCAGATACGGGCCCTGGAGTCTCAGAAGCGTCAGCAGGAAATAGTCCTGAGGAGGAAAACCCAGGAGGTGAGTGCTCTCATCAGCCCAGCTGGATGTACAGGGTTGGCTCTGGCTCCCAAGTTGCTCTCCTCTGAAGCAATAAGGGGCAGGTAGTGGGGGTGGGGGGGTGGGGGATGGGGGGTGGAGAAGGGGACCTATGCAACTTGTGGCCTGGATCTCCTTTCATTCCATGAGCACAGCCTTGCTAAATTGTAGTAGCCTGTGAGAAATGACTTCTCAACCAGTGAGCCGAGCCTAGAAGGCAGAATACACACATCCCATCCCCAGTGCCTGGTTGGTCATTTTAAAAAAAAGAGGAAAAAAAGCTGGGTGGTGGTGGCACATGCTTTTAATCCCAGCACTCAGAAGGCAGAGACAGGCAGATCTCTGTGAGTTCGAGGCCAGCCTGATGCAAAGTGAGTTCCGGAACAGTTAGAGCTGTTACACAGAGAAACCCTGTCTCAAAAGCAAAAAAAAACAAAACAACAATAAAAAAAAAAAAAAAAGAGAAAAAAGGGGCTAGAGAGATGGCCCAGTCGGTAAGTTACTCACCACAGAAGCATGAGGACCTGTGTTTTAATCCCCAGCACCCACGTTAAAAACTGGGCATGGTGGAGACAGATGGATCTCAGCGCTTGCTGACCAGCCAGCATAGCTAATCGGAGAGCTCTGGGTTCATTGACAGACAGTGTTCATCTCAAAACACAGTGGGGAGAGTAATAGAGCAAGACACCCAATGTCCACCTCTGGCCTCCACATGCTCGGGAACACATGTACATGCACACACACCTTTGAGAGAGTAAGAGTGAGAAAATGAGAGAGACAGACAGACAGACGACTGACAAGCATCTCTTGTGTTTATTTTATCACAGACTTCTTTTCCCTTTACAGCCCCAAAGGCTCAGGCATGCACAAAGCTGCCTTTGTTCTCCCCAACACCTCAAGCCAGGCTTTCCTGAAGCTCCAGTCTTCCTTGCTCACTGGGTCCCCTCTTCTTGTCCTCACTGTGCCCAGGTTTCTGCCCTGAGGCGCTTGGCGAAGCCCATGTCTGAGCGAGTGGCTGGGCGTGTAGGATCGAAGCCCCCCAATTTGGATTCTGGGGCTGAGGTGTCTGCCAGCACGACCTCGTCTGAGGCTGAATCGGGAGCTCGCTCTGTCTCCAGCATAGTGCGTCAGTGGAACCGAAAGATCAACCACTTCCTGGGGGACCACCCTGCAGCCGCTGTCAACGGTACCCGCCCAGCCAGGTGAGGGGTGTGAGCGGTGCCTGTCAGAGGCAGGAGAGCCGGCAAGTGCTCTGGTGCCTGGGCCGTCTGCTTCGGGCTCTGTGTGGGAGCTCAGTAGAGCCTCCAAGGTCCAGAGCAGTCAGCCAAGGCCCCTTTGCCTCTGCCTCCCAGGAGAAAGTTCCAGAAGAAGGGGGCCAGCCAAAGCTTCAGTAAGGCCGCAAGACTCAAGTGGCAGTCCCTGGAGCGGAGGATCATCGACATCGTCATGCAGAGGATGACCATTGTCAACCTGGAGGCTGACATGGAGCGTCTCATAAAGGTGGGACCTCCCTCCTCATCTCTCCCACCCCACTTTCCTACTTCTCTGGCTCTTTACTCTTTTCCCCTGTCTCCGACCCTCTGCTCCTCATGCCTGTTCTGACCTCTGGATGATCCCAGGCAGGTGGGTGGCTTGGTGTAGGAGCTGTGGGCAGGGCTTGCCTAAGTGTGAGATCCTTTCTCCATCACTGTCCTCCCTCAAATCCCCCCCCCCCAGAAAAGGGAGGAGCTCTTCCTTCTGCAGGAGACGCTTCGGAGGAAGCGGGAGCGTCTGCAGGCTGAGAGCCCCGAGGAGGAGAAGGGGCTGCAGGAGCTGGCTGAGGAGATCGAAGTGTTGGCAGCCAATATTGACTACATCAATGACAGCATCACTGACTGCCAGGCCACCATCGTGCAGCTGGAGGAGACCAAGGTACCCATGGGTTCCAGGGGGGGTGGGGTGGTCGCCGTGAGTGGGCTTGGCAGCCCTGTGTGACGGGGTCTCTGCTCTTTTGGTCTCCGAAAGGAGGAGCTGGACTCGACAGATACGTCAGTGGTCATTAGCTCCTGCTCCCTAGCTGAAGCCCGCCTACTGCTAGACAACTTCCTCAAGGCGTCCATTGACAAGGTGAGCTGGCAGCTCCCCTGCAGCTGGGCAGGCGTCGCATACCCTGGTGGTGAAGCCCACGGGTTTGGCTCCCTCCCACCTGCGTCATTCACAGGCCGGGACAAGCTGCTGAACCTGCAAGCTCGGATTCTGCGGCTCTAAAACGGGAGCCTTGACAATATAGAGCTTGTAGCTGGTTGTACAGAATGCTGCACGTAGGGGCCTTGGCACACTACACAGCTTCAGTTAAAGGTGGCCAGGCCCATCCACAGCAGGACTGGGCTCCGGTCTGTTGGAGGCAGAGGGAGAAGTGTGTGTACATTAGGGATTGGGGAGCAGGAAACAAAAATTACATTTCACCCCCCACCCTCACCCCTGCCTACCAGGGCGCCAGGAGTCATTGGGCCCCTCTCCTTGATCCGTGGCCAGAGAATGTGTTTCTTCCTGTCCTAGGGACGAGTCTTGGGGACAGACACCAGCTAGTGTGCATAGAGTTAACTGGAAAGAGGTTGGGAGGCTATCCTGCCCAACTCTTAGGCTGACCCCCAGTGACTCCTCAGTGATGCTTTGCGTCTTAGGGGACTGTGTTCGTGTGCTGGGGCTGCCGTGACAAAATGTCACAGACTGTGGGGCTGGTGCAGCAGGGAAATCCTCAGTTTAGGATCCCAGGGTCAGCTGGGTAGTTTTTCTGGAGCCTCGCTCCATGGCCAGTCTTTCTTCCCGTGTCTTCACGTGATCTTTCCTCTCTGTGGCTTGTCATGATCTAATATTGTAAGGACACTGGTCATACTGTATTAGGGGCCACCCCTATGACCTCATGTTATCCCGCTTCCCACTCCATAGGACTTATCTGTAGGTACAGTCACATTTTAAGGTAACAGGGGTTGGGACTTCTATGTTGAAAGTCCACCCGTAACAGAGTATATGCTAGAGTGGCCTTCACTAATGTGTGTGTGTGTGTGTGTGTGTGTGTGTGTGTGTGTGTGTGTGTGTGTTTGTGTGTGTGTGTCTGTGTGTGTCTATTCTGTGTCTGTGTTGTGAGTCTGTGTGTGTGTGTCTGTGTATGTCTGTGTGTGTGTGTCTGTGTCTGTGTGTGTCTGTGTCTGTGTGTGTCTATGTCTGTGTATGTCTGTGTGTGTGTGTGTCTGTGTGTGTGCCTGTGTCTATGTATGTCTGTGTGTCTATGTCTGTGTGTATGTGTCTGTGTGTGTCTATGTCTATGTATGTATGTCTGTCTGTGTATGTCTGTCTGTGTGTGTCTGTGTGTGTATGTCTGTGTGTGTGTGTCTGTGTCTGTGTGTCTGTGTGTGTATGTGTCTGTGTATGTCTCTGTGTGTGTGTGTCTGTGTGTGTATGTCTGTGTCTGTGTGTGTCTGTGTATGTCTGTGTGTGTCTGTGTGTGTCTATGTCTGTGTATGTCTGTGTATGTCTGTGTGTGTGTCTGTGTGTGTGTCTGTGTATGTCTGTGTGTGTCTCTGTGTGTCTATGTCTGTGTATGTCTGTGTATGTCTGTCTGTGTGTGTCTATGTCTGTGTATGTCTGTGTGTGTGTGTGTGTCTGTGTATGTCTGTGTGTGTGTGTCTGTGTATGTGTGTGTGTGTCTGTGTGTGTGTGTGTCTGTGTGTAGGCACCTAGCAGCTACAGGGTCAAGCACAGGCCAGGAAGAGTGAGCCCAGGCCTTGTTCTTTGTGCCCAGGGACTCCAGGTAGCCCAGAAGGAAGCCCAGATCCGGCTGCTGGAAGGACGGCTGAGACAAACAGACATGACAGGCGCTTCCCAGAACCACCTTCTCCTAGATGCTTTGCGTGAGAAGGCCGAGGCACACCCTGAGCTGCAGGCCCTCCTCTATAATGTGCAGCAGGGTATGCTTTGGTGTGGGGAAGGCTTTCCAGCTCCCCAAACTCCCCTGCCTCAGAATTCCCTCAGAAGCCTTGTGATCCCAGTGGGTGAGGTACTGGAGAAGGGCTGTGTCCCCTTTCCACATACCCTGACAGGGTCTCTCAGCCACCTTCTCCCTTCCTTCCCCCACTCCCTCAGAGAACGGCTATGTGAGCACAGACGAGGAAGTCTCCGAGTTCTCTGAGGGAAGGTGAGTTTTCAAGCAGGAAGTCAGCGGTGCCTCACCTGGGGATGGAGGAAGGGTTGCCGCAGGGCCCCCGGGCTAAGCTGGGTTTTCAGGCTCTTGGGGACCCATATTTCTAAGTCCTAGAGAGACTTAGAGAGTTGCAGTGTAACTGTCATGGTCCTGAACTTTCCTGCCTTCCCCGTCAGCTTTTCCCAGTCATTCACCATGAAAGGCTCCACCAGCCATGATGATTTCAAGTTCAAGGTAAGCCCTGCTGGGAATCAGGCTGTCGGTTTAGCAGGGCCAGCCTCTCCCAGCCTGATCCCTATGAGTGCAGGTCCACGTCTCCAGCCCCAATTCAGTTTTGTCCACAGAAGAAATGGAGATGCCAAGAAGGATCTCCTGGCACTGGGGGTGGGGGTGGGTGGGAGACTAACCTAGAATTTGCTGTGTAGACCAGGCAACCCATTCTCTTCAAGATGGGAGAAATGCCCAGAGCCCCTAAGAGCCTATTTCTACTCTACCTAGTGACATCACTGTATCCAGAGACCCCGCGTTACAGACCCCCCCCCCCAGCCCAAGACTCTAGGTCAAAGTTGACTCTAGAGCCCTAGTTCTTTTTCCTGGGAGGATTTGTTCCACTGCATTGAAGTTCACAGTAAGAAAGTTTTCTCAACGGTGAGGGATTAGTGACGAACCAGCCCTGAAGACTTACTAAGTCAGATGTGGGAAAGTGCAGACTGTGAGCCATGAATTCTGCCTAGTCCTGGAGCGATCTGATTAGATCAGTCTGGAAGGACGCTCTGTGGTCTGCATGGTAAAGGGCTTCTTTCAACAGCAACCCTCCCTCAGGCCAGGCAGATCATTTCCCTCAGGATTTACCCACGTCTTCCATACTGGAGCTTGGACCCACACTGAGCTAGGTCCTCTGCTCTCTTTCTCTCTCTCTCTCTCTCTCTCTCTCTCTCTCTCTCTCTCTCTCTCTCTCTCTCTCTCTGAGTTAGAATCTCAGCCTCCCATGCACCTGGGAGAGCAGGTCCATATCATCAGGCTCAGTTCTCACTTTACCTCTGTGGTCCATCAGTTGAACAAATTGGTCCACTCATCCTTCCTTTCCTAGGGTGAGCCTAAGCTATCTGCCCAAATGAAGGCTGTGTCTGCGGAATGCCTAGGACCCCCATTGGATAGTTCCACCAAGAACATCACCAAGTCCCTGGCCTCCCTCGTTGAGATCAAAGAGGATGGAGTGGGCTTCTCCATCCGGGACCCCTATTACCGGGACAAGGTCTCACGGACCGTCAGCCTGCCCACCCGGGGCAGCACTTTGTAAGGAGGGGGATCCGGGTACATGGGTCAAGGTGGGCAGAAAGTTAGGTCTCAGATTCACTGGACCCTTCTTCTCTAGCCCTCGGCAGTCTCGTGGTGGCACAGACACATCCCCTCTGACCCGAAGAAAGTCTTATGACCGGGGGCAGCCAATCAGGTGAGAGCATGTTCTAGAATCTGTTCAAGTCACTGTCCAGTCCTTGGGTGCATGCCTGGCTCTGAGAATCTTCTCTGGAGATTATCATACACACTTGCTAACACAGCCCTTTATGGCCCCATGGTCTCATACTTACTCTGAAGAGGTGGGGTGGTCTTCACAGCTAAATAGTGAGGTGTCTGTGCTCAGAGTGATCATTGTGAAAAACTTGCTCCAGACTCCAGCCTTCCCTCTTCACCAAAGCAGATGCCCACAGCACCGGCTTGCAGGTGGTCTTGGTGGAGAGGCGTTGGAAGGACGTCTGTATACTTGTAGCCTACCAGACTTCATCTGTGGACTCAGAGAACACCCTGAAATTGTGGTCTGAGGATCAAGCTGAACTCAAGATGCCGATCCAAAGGGAGGGGAATGTAAAGACAGCTTTCCAAAGAGGGGAAATGAGCAGGCCATCAAAGTCATAGACTTTCCCTTGAAAAACTGTCAGATCTCATGGTTCACAGTTCAGCTCCTTGAAGTTGTTCTGAATACCGAATCAGAGACTCAGAGCTGGAACTGCTCTTAGGGTAGATGGAGGGCGAGGCTCCTGCGAGGAGCTGATCACGTTTTCAATGATGTCTGCATCACCTTGTTTAAATAAAGACACCGTAGTGACTGTATACCATTGACTGATAGAGCTCAGCCAGGGCACTGTAACTCAGGCCCCAACGAAGCTTGTCTAATCTTTCTCAGCTCTCTAATGCTTAGCAATATCAGAGAGGACTGTTGCAGTATGCTCTGGGGCTGTTTCAGAAATGGGCATGGTAGCCGACACTTGTAATCTTAGCACCCAAGAAGTAGAGGCAGAGGCCAGTTAAAGCCTCTGAGATTCTTCTCTGGATTATCATATGCACTTGCAAAGGCAAGGCTGCCCTGGTCTATATAGTTTGTTCCAGGCCAGACAGAGCTACATAGTGAGATCATGTGTCAAAACAAACAAATAAAAATCCTCACTAAGAAACACAAAAATGTAATAATAAATAAAGGCAGTAACTAGAGCATCAACAGGACACTTGTTTCCAGGATCAGGGTGGAGACAGCCTCAGCTAGAAGCACACACACATTTGAGCTTGATGTAAGTCTGAGAATCACACAGAAGATGACCAGGAGCACTGATTGTGGGATTACCAACAAATTTCAAAGAGTAGGCGAAACTCATGAGAACAGCATCCAGGGGCTGGAGAGAGGATGGCGCGGTGGTTAAGAGCACTGGCTGTTCTTCCAGAGGACCTGGGTTCAACTCCAAGCTCCCTCAGGAGCTCTCAACCACCTGTCACTCCAGGTCTAGAGTGTTTGATACCTTCTTCTGGCACTACCCTGTGCACTGATATAAATGCAGGCGGAACACCCACGCACACGAAATAAATATTTAAAAACCTCATCATTGGAAGCCTAACATTGAGTGGACTTGTGGATAGGGTGTGGTCACGGATGATGACTCCGTTCTCATTTCCCAGATCCACAGACATGGGATTCACACCTCCATCATCACCTCCCACTCGGCCCCGCAATGACCGCAACGTCTTCTCTCGTCTCACCAGCAATCAGAGCCAGGGGTCAGCACTGGACAAGTAAGAGCAGGCCTGAGGAGAGCCAAGAAGGGCATCGAGGCTGGGAGGGAGCCTGTGGGGGCGGGTCAACTGGGTAGACTCCAGCCGGTCTGTTCCAGTTCCTCTGAGCCATGAGGCCCTTGGTACTCTTCATCTTTTCTGTACTGGCCGAGGGTCTCTCCTTTCCCCCAAGCATGCTGGGGTGCCAGGAAAGGAAGAGATGGAAGTTACCTCACTAGAGTGGGACAGTCAGGAGTGGTAGCCGTGGGGGCAAGCCTACCAGAGGGTAATCTAGAGTGCCCCTTTCATCCACGTCTGCTGTCTTTACTGTTCTTAAGCTCCAGCTACTGTTCTACCTGATTGCAAAAGCTTTACCCAAGGCCCCAGGAATCCTTGAGCACTGCTGAGTAGACAGAGACCACTGAGTCATCTCCATGTGGCAGGCGCAGCTCCCTGTATTCACAGCTCCTGATGTGATGCTGTAGTTGCTATGGGGTCATTCTCTTCACAGTCATCCCTGTATTCAGAAGGTGCTCAGCCTTGCTTCCCAATCTGCTGTACCGGCATGATTCCATGCAAATTGTCAATCAGCCCAAGAATTGTCTGTCTCCCCTGATTTGCATAAGAATGGTCCAAAGCAGAGCCCAGGGGCTTTTGCCTGGAAAGCGGTCCAGAATCTGGGACTGCTGTCTCTAGCTAACCGTGACAACAGGACTTTGTTTGGGGAGGACCTCATCGTTCCTGGCTTCATTTCGGTGTTCCCCAAGCCCACTGTGACCCTCTTCAGTTCTGTAGTTACCCAAAGGGCTCCTTTCTTCCCCCCTGAAAGCTTTCCTGCCATGAGGAGCAAGGATGTTGTGACCTTCAAGGGAGCCCTAGGTTCCAGACCACTTGTCCTTTATTCACGATACACGCTCTGCCCACCCTCTCACAGAAACATCCCCTTCTGGCTCAAAACACTGCTCCCTAGATGCTAAAACCGTGAGGGGCAGACCCAGCAGGTCAGCATCCTGGGTACTGTTCTTCCCCAAGCTTACGTCATCTCAGTTCCTACTAAAGAAGCTGTGGAAGGCTTGCCCCCCACCCCCCATCCTGATGCACCTCTCCCCAGTGCAATTGACTTGTTATTATTTATTTACTTATTTTGTTTTGGAAATGGGGTCTTGACATGTATCTAGACTAGTCTCAAACCCTTAGCCTTCTGTTTTATTCTCCTAAGTGCTAGGTTTACAGGCATGCGCCCCTACATCCATCTTAAACTTGTCCTCCCCCACCCCCATGAATTGGGGTCGGACTCTGCCCATCCTGGCCTGGTCTACAGGCTCAGGTCCTATCCAGTGGTCCGTTCTTGGGATCCACATGCAGCACAGCTTTAGCTTCTAGACATGGTCTCAGGGAAGGAAAGAGCAGTGGGGCCTTCCTGTGTCCTTGGACAGGCTTGCACATTGCCGGGGTGGTACAGCCGGCCCCAGCTTACGCGGTGGGCCAACCAGAGAGCTTGGAACTAGCAAAGAGAGCCCTGGAACCATCTCCCCAAGAGTGGGCTGGCCTCCCACACCTCCTGTGGCCCTCTCCTCACCCCCACCCTGCTAGCTGAGAGACCCCCTGGTGGTCTGCTGCTGGGGGACTCTCCCAGCTCCCAGGCCAGTCTGTCCCCACCCCAACCCCACCACTCTCCTCGAAGGCCCTCTTCCCCTGCCTCTCTCTGCCTTCCCTGAAGAGAATAACCGCCCTCTGACCCCCCTGTGCTGTGGCTGCTGTTTGTTGCTGCTACCACTGTCCTGTGTGTGTTTTCCTCTCTCCCCTAATCCAGCTAATTTTCTGCCCTTCCCAGGTCTGATGACAGCGACTCCTCTTTGTCGGAGGTCCTGAGGTACACACAGAATGTCTCTCATGTTTGATTCCCCTTCTTGCTCTCTCTCTCTTCTTTTTCTCTTGGCCTCACGCTACACCAGTCCCTCCTGCCTGTACCCCTGTCCTTCGCATGCGGCCCCTCCTCTCCTAGCCCCTGCCCCTTCCACATCCATGGCCCTCCTGAGACTTCTTCTTGCCCCATGGTTCCTTCCTCTCATGGTGACCCCATGGCCTCAGACTATGCCATGCCTGGCTAGAGCTAAGGGCTTGTGATGGGGGAGGGTGCAGTTGCTTGTGGCTAGCCTTGTTCTCTTCTCCCTCCTGCCCTGGGCAAGGTGGGGAGGGACGTGGAAGCCTGGGTTGGACTGGAGTTGGAACAGAGCTTTGCTGAGCAAGAGGTACCATGGGGACCTTGTCAGCCCGCTAGTCTTTGATTGAGTGCTGTTGGCTATGGGGGCTGTTTACGGTTCTTGTAACTTAGCTTGTGTTGGTGGGTGAGTCTTGCAAAGTTCAGCTCTGAGGGGCACCAAGGGAGGCAGACCACTGCTCGTATCTCTTAGCCCACGGCTTGTGGCTGTCTGTTCCCCTTCACAAGCCCACAGGACAGCCAGAGGCTGGTCCCTCAAGCCTACTGAGCACAGATCCCCGCAGCAAGGGGGAAGACTTAGGACCCTGGCAGCAGAAGGCTCTCTTGTAAGGCCAAGAGCTCCCTCTAGCTCTCCAGGCATGCTCTCTGCTTACCATAGTCTGCCATACCGTGGTTAGCACCACTGATTTATCCTCTGCAGTGAGGCCTTGCCAATAGATGTTACCAGCAATACGCCAGTCTCTTTAGAGCGCCGACTCCTTTTGATACATTTCCAGGGCAATCTTGGCCTAACTCAGCCCAAAGCCGCATCACAAGCTGGGAGCAAAAGCAGAGAGCTATTTATGCATGTGCTTATCCAGCATGTGGGCATGAATGACTAGTGTCCTGGTGTTGCTCCTGGCCAAGGTAACTCTGCAGGACCATGCACGAGTGCTACAAGCAGATGTCAATCATCTCAGTAACCCCCCCAACCATTGTGCCACTGTGTGCGACAGCATTCTCCTTTGAAGAGCTAGAATGTGGTTTTTGATGTAGCCTAGCTGGGTCTCATCCCTAAAGATCTTCCCGAGAAAGAAAAAAACCATCCTCAGAACCCCAAGAGGTAGACGTAGCAAAACCTTTACGCTACTTGGCTCGGCCTTATTCCTGCTCCCGGAACATTGTGCAGAACAAGCAGGGACCATTCCAGGTCCAGGCAGGTCCAGGCAGGTCCAAGCAGGCTCGCTCCAGAGAGGCCCGTGAATCCCAGCCCCCAGCTGGGCTGCAGTGCCCTGCCTGATCCAATCCCTGTGGAGCTTTTTAGGGGATGGTGTTTTTTTGTTTGTTGGCTGGTTTGCTTGTGTTTGACAGGTTTTCCTATGTGTGCCAGGCTGGCCTTGAGCTCCTTGTATAGACCAGTCTGGCCTCAGATTCACAGCAATCCTCCTGCTTGAGCCTCCCAAGTGCTGGGATAACAGGTCTGTGTCCAGCCCTGATTTATCCCTTTGCAAATGACAGACACAGGTCTGACCATGCTGGTCCACCTCGAGGCTCTGTGTAGGTGTCTGTCCGCCTCCCTGCTGGAAGGTGCCAGCCCTAGGTCACTGACTGGCAAATGACGTGTGGGGAGGGTGACAGCCTGGACACCCTTCCTCTCTCCTGCCTTCTCCCCATTTTTGATTGCCGAAGAAGCATGGAGACTGCTGGGAGCCCCAGGGCCCCAGGGCCGGCTGCATGCCTGTCTCTGTCTCCAGGTTAGGTAGCCTCTCCCCATCCCTTTCCTTCCAGCATGCCTGGCATGGGCTTCTCCTGCAGGGCTGAGGATGGCAAGCACAGCTCTTTCTGGCTCCCAGACACCGTGGTGGAGTTTTGCTAGCAGCCCCGGGAATCTCTCGTCATTCATCACCGTCCCCTCTCAGCCCAGACCCCCTCTCTCCCGTGTGCCTCAGTCAGCCTGGCCACGGTCTCCTTGGCTGACTGGCACATCCTCTTTCCCTCTCTCCCGGGAAGGGGCATCATCACCCCCATTGGCGGCGCCAAGGGAGCGCGGACGGCCCCTCTGCAGTGTGTCTCCATGGCCGAGGGCCACACCAAGCCTATCCTCTGCCTGGACGCCACCGATGAGTTGCTCTTCACGGGGTCCAAAGGTGCGTGGAGACTTGAGGGGCCAGTGGGGTTAGGTTCCTCTCACCCCCTCCGCGTTGCTTTTCCAGAGTGGGCTGTGAAGGCAACAGCATGCAGAGCCCCCCTCCCCCACCTCGACCCCCCAAGAGTTGAGGCTATGTGGAGAACTTGCTTACCACTCCTGTCTTTGGCCTCCACTCAAGGCTCCCAGTCAACACACTCCTGGCTGAGCCTCCCCTCCCCCATGATCCTGCGGGCTCTGCCACTACCCGCCTCCTCCAGACCACCTTTAGACATCTTGGGAAGCTTCTCTGAAGCCCTACAGCTCTGCTCTTTAATACCAACACTTCCTCCCCCACGTCCTCTCTGCATCTGCGTCCGTCAGTTCCTCTGGTCTCAGCAGCGGGAGTTCACAGTCCGACTACTAATCACCACAAAAAAGTTGAAGACCTGACCAGAAGAAAGAACGAATCTGTAGCATGCATGCATAATAGGGACCTGCGCATGCACATATGAACATATGTATGCGTATATATGACACACACACGTTTAGACATACAGGAGAGGGGATGGATGTCAACTGAGGTGTGACGGACTGGTTCCAAGTTTTCCCGTGTTTGCTTGCTACTTGACCATTTAATAAGCCGTGGATCTGTAGGAATTTTCTTTCAGCCCAGGACACCTCAGCAATGATCAGAGAACTTGCCATTATTTAAAGTTCTCGGCCCCTTCTCCATCTCCTGGGTGTTTTTTGCTTTGTTTTTTGTTTTTTGTTTTTTAATGAGACTGTACATGCATGCATGCTTCTCCCTTAGACTGGAGGTTCTAAAATGTCTCTCTCCACTAAGTGTGACCTCCCACCCTCCTTTGGGGGAGATTCCTGGCTCCTGACATCAGCTCCTGTTCATAGCCTTTTCCCTGTCTCTGGCAGACCGTAGCTGCAAGATGTGGAACCTGGTAACAGGGCAGGAGATCGCGGCTCTCAAGGGCCACCCCAACAACGTGGTTTCTATCAAATACTGCAGCCACTCCGGGCTGGTGTTCTCTGTGTCCAGCTCCTACATCAAAGTGTGGGACATCCGGGACTCGGCCAAGTGCATTAGGACCCTCACGTAAGTGTTACACTCCTGGCCTGCTTTACCAGACTGCATTTGAGAAAAGTGCTTCCCCACTTAGGTGCCCACTCATCACAGTACAGCCCGATTAGGTGGGCATGGAGGTCCTTACTGGCCCATAGGGTTGCTTCGACTCCAGGGGAATGAAGTCTGGTTTTTGGGGGACAGTCTCTGAACAGCAGGTTGGTGAGCCTTTGGCTTGCCTGGCTTTGTCTCAATCCTCTGAGATCTACCATTTGAGATGGACTACATATATAGCCCTAGGAATCCAAAACACCAGCAGGGGGCAGCAGCCTCCAAAACCAGGCCAGCCACCTGCCTCACAGCTGAGCCACCCACCATGGTCCTGAGCAGGGACACAAAGTCTCCAGGAGTCAAGTTCTGTTCTTATGTGTGCATTATAAACCACAAATTGTTTAGTTTGATACTTGAAAAGCAAACACAGGATATTTAGGGCCGTGAACTTACTCTGCATGATGCAGTAGTCAACAGTCACACATTTGAACCTATAGAATGCAGACCGCCTAGAATGGGCCCCACTGTATGCGATGAGCTTGAGCGATGTGTCTGTTACAGGTTCGCCTGTTGTAGCAAAGGCTGTGGTGTGGGGTGTTGGCAATGGGGGAAGCTATGCATGTTGGGAAGGAAAGAGGTACATGGGGAAACTGCCTTCTGCTTGGTTTTGCTGTGAACCTAAAGCTATTTTTTTATGAAGTCTGGGCGAGGGGTAGTACACATAATGAATATTATCACCTCTTCCAACGGATGGGGAAACTGAGGCTCAGAGAAGTTAAGTGGTTTCTACATGGACCAGGTTCAGAGCCTGCCCCTTGCCTCTTACTCAGTCTATTCAAACCTGCCCGTGCACCCCAACAGGTCATAGAGACATGTTGGGTAGAGTGTAGCTCTCCCTTTGGTCCGGCTTCTAGGGGAAGGCATCCTGGAAGAAGTGGCGTTTCCGAGCCGGTCTGAGTGAAGTTTATTCATTTCCTAGCCTGGGTGGATAGACTTTTCTGACCTCTGGCTTTGCTCTTCTCTCTCTGAGTAGATCCTCGGGCCAGGTGATCTCAGGAGACGCTTGCATAGCCACATCCACACGTGCCATCACCAGTGCCCAGGGCGAGCATCAGATTAACCAGATGGCCCTCAGCCCCTCAGGCACCATGCTGTATGTGGCCTCTGGCAATGCCGTCCGCATCTGGGAGCTTAACAGGTCAGTGAGACGTCAGGAGAAGAGGCCCTGGGAAGATCCGCAGGCCTCAGCATGGTGTGGCCACCCCAGGGTGGGCAGGACCTCTGCTCTGCCTCCAGTCCCCCACACTATGAGCTTGTCCCGTGCCTCTGAAAACCTTGGTCCTTGAACTTGCTTTGAAGGGGAGAAAGGCTGGCCTGTCTATTCCAGGTCAGATTCCCTCCAACCCCCTGCTCTGTCCTTGACGCCCCTCCCACCAACTATCCCCGCTTGGGTCTCTCCCCACGGTAGGTTCCAGCCCATTGGCAAACTGACCGGCCACATCGGCCCAGTGATGTGCCTGACAGTCACTCAGACTTCGAACCAGCATGACCTCGTGGTGACCGGCTCCAAGGACCACTATGTGAAGGTACGTGTGACCCCCTTGACGCTAACTGGGGTCTGACTGGAGCCAGCTCTGCTCTGAGGCCTGACCGATACCGTTCTCACTGTTTCCTCCTATCCCACCTTTACCCTCTGTTACCCGGGGAACACACACACACACACAAAAAAAAACACAAGGAGACTTCTGGGAATTGCTGCTGGAGAAGGCATCTCAGAGAAGACGGGAAGATGTGTGTCGACAGGGAAGGGCCTAGAATTATTCCGTAAATGAAAAGTTAACAGTCTAAATGGGTGAGGATTTCAGGTAGAGCCTCCGAATGGGGTATGGTGCGACAATTAAAATGATAAACGGGGGGGACCCCAAAGTATACAAACCCCACTCTCTTGGTTTGCTCTCTGTGGACGTAGCTGGACACTTGGTGTGGCCAGAAAGTGGGAAGAAGTGGTCAAAAGGGAGATGGAGGTGGGAGAGACTGTGGCAGTGTTCTCCAGCAGTGCTCAAGGCCTGCCCCCAAACACCCCCTCTCTGGGCTCTGCCCCTCTTCCTCTGCAGATGTTCCAGCTGGGCGACTGTGTGATGGGCACCATTGGCCCAACCCACAACTTTGAGCCCCCGCACTACGATGGTATCGAATGCCTGGCCATCCAAGGAGACATACTGTTCAGTGGTTCCAGGGACAATGGCATTAAGAAGTGGGACCTGGAACAGCAGGAACTCATTCAGGTTCGGGGAGGGGAAGGGAGGGGTGGAATGGTCCAGGGCGAGGCCCCAGGCAGACCTTAGCAGAGCCCCTCCGAGACTGCCTGCTGTCTCCGAGACAGTCTCCCGGGCTGTCCTCACCCTCCTCTCCCCGTAGCCTGTTGTGATTCCACTGGGGCCCTCTGCACGCAGCTCTCCACGAAGTCTTCGCTTCCCGCTTGAATGTGGAGTACTTGACTTTAGCCTAGCTCTTCTGAAGGCTGAAGACTTTTCCAGCAGCGCAGATTCAGGAGTTTGAATGTGGGAACTGGGCGGAAGGACCCATCTGGGCTTTTGAGTCCCCTGGCACAGCGTAGCTCAACCTGGCTCCTGGGAATGACGGGGTCTGCCTGCATGATAGCTGTGGGCACCAGGAGCCAGGTAGCATCCCTTCCACCACTAGCCAGAGGGATGTGTGTGCTCCTGGGGCCTTGGGGCAGCCCCTCTTCCTTCTCTACACCTCATCAGCCCCGACCCTCCCACAGCAAATCCCCAATGCTCACAAGGACTGGGTGTGTGCCCTGGCCTTCGTTCCTGGCCGACCCATGCTGCTGAGCGCCTGCCGGGCAGGCTTCATCAAGGTCTGGAATGTGGACAACTTCACCCCCATTGGTGAGATCAAGGGCCATGACAGCCCCATCAATGCCATCTGTACCAACAGCAAGCACATCTTCACGGCCTCCAGGTGGGTGCTGGGCAGGAGAGCCTCTCTGCTCCCCTCCCTCTTCCTAGAGTCAGGAGGTTGGCCACTGGCTCGGGACTGTGCCGCTGTCCGCACAGATCCGATTCACAGAGCAGAACCCCGCAGAGCCCTCCTCTCTAGACCTCCTGTTCGTCTTCACTGAGCACTGAGCACCCAAATGTCCTGGGTGCTGCACTAGGCAGGGGATCAGGGAGCCACTGGGCCCCAGGCCAAGACTTGTCCTCCCAGTGATCCCAGTCACTCTCTGACCCGTGCAGGAGCTAAGGCCTGCCCCTCCCGAACCTCTGCTCCTCCAGCTGCAGCTCCGGCCCCCTGGGCAGGCCGTGCCAGGCCCCCAGTCCCAGGGGCACTACTCAGCCGGGTTTCTTCTTTTCTCTCCTTGTTCCCACCACCGTGTCCCTTCTCTCCCCTCCCATCTCTTCCTACCTCTCCTCTCTGCCTCTCTACCTCTCCCCCCCCATAGTGACTGCCGGGTAAAGCTGTGGAATTACGTCCCTGGACTCACCCCCTGCCTTCCTCGCCGAGTCCTGGCCATAAAGGGCCGCGCCACCACCATGCCCTGACCCCTCCCCAAGCCCCTCCCCTTTCCTCTCTCATTCTTCCCCCTCTTGCCTTTTCCTGTCTTTCTCCGCCTCGATCTGAGCTGCTTCTTCACGGTATGAGATTGTTTTACTCTTGACCTTCTTGTTCTCCCATCATGCCTTGCCTGGCCCAACAGCTTGCCCCACCAGCCTGTCTTGCAAGCATGAGCAATGAATGGTACAGAACCCTAGGTAGCGAGAGCAGAGGGGGAGGCATTGAGGCCTGGGCAAAACAAAACTCCCCGAGAAAGCCCAGGACACCAGCCCTGCAGGGTCCTGGAGACCATGGCCTGGGCCCTCCCCTTGCTCGGTAGCCTTCCCGCGCAGTCCCCACACTGCTCCTGAGTAGTGTTTGCCTTAGCCCAGCCGTACGTGAGGGGGTGGTGGGACTCTGCCCAGCCTTTACTTCTGGGGGCAGCCAGCTGGGCTCACGTCGACAGCTGAGCATCCATCCTCACTCTGTCCTCCCCAGTGACCTAACAGTGAAGTTCTGGAGCATGCGGCGGCTACCAGCAGCCCACCCGTGAAGTTAGGACCGGGGGTGGCCAGACCCTCAGACCCAGCGGCCTGCACAGCATGGAAAGGAAGCTGTGGCCTGACCTGCCCAGACCAGCCAGGGGCACCGAGGACAGAGGGTGTGGCCCTCCTCTTGCTCTGCTTCCCCTCACCATCCCCTCTGTCCCTCCCCTGCCTCCTGAGAAAGGAGAGGCTGGGGAGGGAATAAGCTGTGAAGCCAAAGGGTATGACCTCCCCTCCATACTTCCTTGCCCTCCCCCCAGCTGGCCACATCCTGCTGAGCCAGTCCTCCTGCCCTTCCTGTGAGCCCTCAGCCCGGGGTGACACTGTGAGGGAGCAGTCCTAACCCCACCCCCACCCCCCGTCCCCCCTATCCATCCTCCAGTGAGCTAGCCTCTTCCATGTCTCCTAGCCCCACCTCTGGAGCCACTGCACCTGCCTCTGAGCCCACCAAGGTAGTTCTCAGGTAACCATGGAAACCAGATGTAAGCAGCCGAGTCCTGCAGCTGACCCTAAGCCCTATGGCCGCCAATAACCAACCCCCGTGGGGCCCAGTCTTTCCTTGGGGTCCCCTTCTGCTGAGGCCTCAGTGAAGCTGCTTAAACAATTCTTCGGGGGGGAGGGGAGAAGGTCAGCAATACTACAGTTATTTAATTTATTGGTTTTTTTTATTTTTATGTTTTGCTGTTGCCTCCTGGAAACTGACTTGAAGTTTCTTCTCATCTTCTTCCCTCTGTTCTTGGAGGGGGGGGGTCTTCTCTTTGGCGCTCCAGCCCCCTTTCCGTCCACCCCCCTGCCTCCGCTTGGTGTGCAGAGGAGGGAAAGGCTCCCCTTTGCAGCTCTGGCCACTGCCCCAGCTCCGCCCCATCCCGGCTCCGCCCTACCCCGGCTCCGCCCCACACTCCGGCTCCGCCCCACCCCGGCATACCCTCTAGTATAGTTCAGGTCTCTAGGCCGCTTGATGCCATAGTGCCTTCCTCCATCCTGAGGCCTGGCATCATGCTGGGCAGCCTTATGCCAACCATGCCCACAGCCCACATGTGTCTTCTTCTTATGGGCCTCGTGCCCACAGACCCTGAGGGTCAGAGAATCCACCCAAGACCAACAGGCCAAGACCAGGGAACCCATGCTCCCTAGAGTCCTGTGTGGTCCAACGGGGTCCTGTCCACTAGGTAGCGGGTTGGGTAATAAAGACCAACCTAACCCCTCCCCAGCTAATTATGTTTCCGTCCCATGGGGACAGGGAGCCTCCTCAGCTTCTTTTCTTTAGTTGTTCTAGAAACAGATTTCCAAGCCTTAAAACCAGCCTGGGCCAAAGGCCCTCCCTTTTAGATTGGCAAGAGGAGGTTCACACTCTTTCCTTGCTTCTCCCGCGCGGGGCTGTGGACTCGGCTGCAGGGATGAGGTGGAATCAGTGTCTGGCGCCCCCTATCGGAACAACTCTGAATTTGTAAGATTAGACCTTGAAGAGGGGTCAACTCCATCCCTCAGCCCTGGCTTCCCCTGCCCTTCAGCTGCTCCACACTTATCTTCACTGGTCATGTGCTTCCCGGTCTCATTCCGGAAGCCGTGAACCTCAGCTCCATTCAGAGGACATGGTGACTTTGTGGACTTTGGAGAGTTTGCGTAGCGCCTCTGCACTTAGCTCTTCTCCCTCTGCGGCCGGGTACATTGGTGCCTGTCCATGTGGCCCTGGGATGGGAGGGTCCCTCCCTGCCGCGACAGACCCTCTCTGAGTCATCCCAGAGCTGTGTCTGAGGCTGAAACTAAGATGATCGTCCTGCTTATCGATGGCCCCTGCCGGACACGGTGTTAAGTCTGCGTAAGTGGATATTCACAATGATGCATCTGACAGCTGGAACCTGGACAGTGTCTCTGCCATGACCAGAAATCCTCCTTCCTCTGCTCATCCCAGGAGTGCTAAGGAACTGCCTTAGTGCTCAGAAGTGACCACGTCTTCTCCTCCACCCCTCTCCACCTGAATGGAAAGCCTGGACCTTCCATCCTGTAAGAAAACCCAGAACCTATCTGCATGACTGTTTACAAACTACAGAAACACATGAGACTTATTCTGACCCCACGGTCTGGGCTGCCCCAGCCTGGGGTACCTGTACTGTATAGCTGCAAGGCCAGTTCCTGTACAAAGCATGTGGTCTTACAGCCCCGTGAGAGGTGCTCACCGTCATTGCCCCCTCAGCCATTGCTGATGGGTCACTACCTCATGACGGGGCTGCTATGCTGTCCCAGCGAGTGTCGTTGACTAAACTTGAAATCCTCTGGAGCTCTGAGCGCATCATCGTCCCCAAGGCATTCTGCACTGTGTCCTGGGAATGGTGGAGTCCCTGCCCACTCTTTCAGGGGTGTCCAAGGTACAGGGTCAGGGGCAGACCCCTAGCTCCCCTCACTGCACAAGCGTCCTACGCGTTGGAAGCACAAACTGGTTGTGACTGAGCACAATGGCAGGTCTCTGGGTAGACGGTATGGGCAAGCTTGGGCCCAGGAGGCTTTTCCCAAATGGGCTGAGTCTTAAGTTAGACTAGGGATGTCCATGTGTCTGGCTGACTCACCCGTGTACTTCTGGGACTTGTCATATTCTTGTACCCCATCCTAAGACTTGAGGCCCAGGCCACATCTGTATGCTAGGGGGCCCTCCCTAGACCCCCATACCCCAGGCCTTTAAAAACCTGCATATAGCTGTACCCCCACCATACTGAGCCTGAAGAGCCTGGACCCAGGCTCCCAACGCCTGAACTAACCTCCACATCCATGCTTCCGAAGCTGATCGGCTTCCACCTGGATGGAACTTGTCTACTGTCCCCATTCTCTTAGGCCTTCTCTGCACAATCCCGGGCCAGGACCCGTTCCAGTATTAACCAGTTCAGTGTTTGCTCTTGTTGAAGAGACTTGACTCTGCAGCAGCCAAATCCTGGAAGGCTGTGCCTGGAGCAGCCTTTAGAGACTGCCAAGGAGAGAGAGAAGGCAAAGAACAAGAGGCCGACCCAGCCTAGCCCTTGATGTGGTCAGAGCACCACCACTGGCTACTTGAAAAGGGACAGCTATGGATCTGGGAGTAGCCTTCCACCCTTGCGCCAGCTGCAGGCTTGGAACTGTCTGAGGCTGTGTGGCTTGGGCAGAGGGTAGTTTAAAGCACAAACCCGCGTGAGAGGCCACCGCCTCGCTGGGGCGTTCTCCCGCTACCCCTTGGGGTAGTAGCATGGGCAGGAAGCTGCTGGGAAATCGGGGCATCACCCTCTGTCCCGCCCTCTCCCAGTTCCTGGAGGCTTCCCCTGGAGTCTGGTCTGGGTGCAGCCACACACCCTTGGCTGAGCCTGCTTTGTTTGTGTGGGCAGGACCTGCCCTGCAGGAGCAGTGAAGTCCTTCCCAAACCTGGGGCATCTGTCCCTTTGTCCTTTCAAACAAGACACTGCTGTCGTGGCTTCCTTTGCTGAGCGGCTTCCTTTGCTGAGCGCAGTGGCCGGTGACCCCACCGAGCTTCCCTGAGCCCAGCCAGTCCCTCCTGACTCCCAAGTCTTCACTGCTCCTTATGCGCAAGAACAGAGTGTGCAGGGGAACTTGTCTCTTTGACATCTTTGTTCTGTCTCCTGTGCCCACCCCCTTCATCTCCAGCTCCCAGTTGACCTCCTTGGCTTCCTCCCCTCCACCTTCAATCCTAAGGCTTTGTCAGAAAGGGGGAAGTTGGTCCTGCTGAAAATCAGAAAAGACCACTGATGTCTTGCTGCCCTGCCCTGCCCTGCCACCAGCTCTTAAAGCCGTTGCCCCTGCCCAGGCTGCCCCTGCCCAGGCTGCGGGGGGGTGGGGGGGTGGGGGGGAGTCCCTTTTGGCCCCTGCGCTCTCCTGTCACATGGTAGCACAAGGTGTGTATATGTTTTGTACCTCTGCTGATGACTGTACATAGTGTATGAAAGTTATTTAAGCCTCATGCTGTACATTTCTGTTCTGGAATTGGATGTGTGTGCTCTAAGGATTTGTCATAAATAAAACCCGAATGATCATTGTCTGCAGAGGTGTGGCTAGAGGGCTGTTGACCTGTGGCTGGTGGTGCTTTCTTAGGGGTGGGAAGTTGTTTAGGGGCGGGCCTATGAGACTGGCCTTTGTGACTGGGCTCCATGAGAGAACAATGCTCCATGATGAGTTTACGGTGTTTACGGTAAAAGTATGGTACCTTCTCCTCCCCACTCTCCATGTAGCCTGCAGGTACAATCGTTCCAGAGCAGGCCCTAGCATTGACTAAGCACACAGTGCCGAGGTACTGTTCAGGGCTACATCGTCCCTGTCCCCTGGTAATAGGTGATGGCCTCATTATGAAATGAGGACAGTCACAACATGGCAGTGGTTCATCAGGACAGGGCTGGGATTCGATCAGCCTGCGCTGTCAAAGCGCCCACCGTCCTTCACTCACATGATGCGAGCCTTCTCTAGGACTGGGGGCTCCCTGTGTGTGCTGCATCCTGGGCCTGCTTCGTTCCTTTGCCACTTACAGAGAGAAGGCAGAAGTGTCAATGTATCGAGAAACTCGTATACTAAACCAGCTCTGCAATGGTTGGGATGTTATTACTGGGTCAGTGCTTTTCAGTCTCTGGCAAACTGTGTTCTCCACCACCCTTTTTCATGTTTAGGGCTGGGAATGGAACCCAGAGCTCCATGCATGCCGAGCACCTGGCCTACCACTGATTTACCCTTCCAGCCCCAGCTGCATTCTATTTTGCCATCTCTGTCTCTGCGTACTCTGTTGAGGAGTCTGGCCCACTCCTTGACGCCATCTGAGGTTAGAAGGCTCTAGGCCTTCTATACAGCCAGGACGCCAGGAGCATCTTTTGTCGCTTTGGTTCCCAAATGGAAAACCAAGTGGCTTCTGAGCCCACACGAGTCCCCGCTGTTATACTGACCCAACGAGCCAGAGTTCAGGGTGGGTGGAGAGGAATTCTCAAAGTGGCCTCTGCTCCCCCCCCCCCCCCCCCCCCCCCCGAGCAGGAGAGTGAATGGGAGGGACCCTTAGCCACAAAGGGAGACACAGTGGGCGGTCCTGCCCTATGTCCCCAGCCTCTTAGGCAGGCACAGAGGATCCTCCTCTGCCTTGGAGGATGGGGTGGCTTCCTGAAGATCATTGATTTTGGCCGGCCAACTGAGTCCCACCCCATGCCGGTCTCCTGCCCCACCCCTGCTCCCCAAAGCTCATGTTCTACCTGAGATCCTCTTCTGCTACTCCACAGACAGATGCAGCCCACTGTGAACTGTGGGAAGTGACAACTGGGTGTGGCCGACTGCCACTGGCTGAGCATATAGATGAACCGGGGAGGGAGGGAAGGACAGGGCCTCAGCAGCTTCCTCCTTGTGCTGACTCCCCTCTTCATCCCCCAGGGGGTTGACAGCAACTGTTTTTCCAAATTCAAGTCACCCTGTGAATGTGCCCAGAATGAAGAGATTCTTAAATATGGGGGACTAGAAAGGTGGCTCAGTGGTCCAGAACACTGGTTGTTCTTTCTAAAAGTTTACTTAAAGCTGAGTGGTGGTGGCAGCACATGGCTTTACTCCCAGCACTTGGGAGGCAGAGGCAGGTGGATCTCTGAGTTTGAGGCCAGCCAGGTCTATAGAGTGAGTTCTAGGACCACCAGGGCTATGTAGAGAAACCCTGTCTCAAAGAAAAAAAATTTTTTTATTTTAATTGTGTGTGTGTGTGTGCGTGCGTGCGTGCGCGCGCGTGCGCATGCGCGCGCACGCACATGTCTGTCCTACACATTTGTATGCAGGTACCCATGCCTATGTCCATCACACAGAGGTCAGAAGTTGATACCAAATATCTTCCTCAATCACACTCCATTTTGCTTATTTATTTATCTGTATTTTATTTATTTTTTATTTCTTGAGATGGGGGTTTCACTATGTAGTCCTGGCTAGCCCAGAACTCACTATGTAGACCAGGCTGGCCTGGAACTCACAGAGCTGTGCCTGCCTCTGCCTCCCAAGTGCCACCACGCCTGGCCTCCACCTTATTTTTGAGATAGGTATTACTGAATTGATGTAGTGGGTAGCCATTCCAGCTTTGATCTGGAAGTTCCAACCCCCATTGAGGCTTCAGGAAAACTCTAGCTACAAATGGCACCCAACGTGGGGCACGAACCCACAGCCCTGGGATTAAGAGTCCCATGCTCTACTGACTGAGCTAGCCGGGCGAGAGCTTTCTGATTCGGTCTGGCCAGCCAGCCTCAGGGATCCTCCGGTTTCTGCGTCCACAGAGCTTGGGTTCCAGGTGTGCACCCCCATACTCTGCTCTCTTCTGCGGGTTCTGGGACGATGGACTCAGACCACTGTGCTTGTGCTGCAGACACTAGCGACTAAGTCCCTCAGGAGAATTTGATGCCATTCATTGTCTAAGCCGGGTGGCGCCCCAGAAGATGTGTTTTTCCCCAAACTCCTCATTTTATATACAAAGGGAACTGAGGCCCGGAGAGGCCAACAGAATCAGCTGAGGCAGCAGTGGGACAGAAAAGTGCCTAGAATCCACTCTTTTCTTACCTGTATCTTGGTTTGACCAAAGTGAATGTGGCAACGTGGGGGGGACACCCAGTCTTGGAGGAGGTTTTATCCCCCAAACCTGTAACTGGTTGTTTTGTTTGATTTTATTTTATTTTATTTTTATTTTTTATTTATTTATTTTTTTTTGGTTTTTCGAGACAGGGTTTCTTGGTGTAGCTTTGTGCCTTTTCTGGATCTCGCGCTGTAGACCAGGCTGGCCTCGAACTCACAGAGATCCGCCTGCCTCTGCCTCCCGAGTGCTGGGATTAAAGGCGTGCGCCACCACCGCCCTGCTGATTTTATTTTTAATATAAGATATACCATTTATCCTTGCTTATAAAGGCACATTTGTCCTTTGGGGACAAGGAAAGAGCTGTAAGGTGTTAGGGAGTCTTGTATATTTCCACTTATTCCCATGTATAAAGTGGTTAGCCCAGAAAGCTTCCTAGTGGTAACAGGTGGCGGCTGATAATGAGCCAGAAAATGTGTGAAAAGCCTCCTGGCTGCTGCAGAAATTAGCAGGGCCTTTAACGCCATCTTTGGCCTTGTTGGCAAGCAGGTGAGCTTACAAGAAAATACAAGAAGGATGTGGGCCTCGGGAGGACCAGCAAGGAGGAGCCAGGCAGGTTCCTGAGGGCTTGTGTGCAGGAGCCAGCTGGGAACTTCAAGGCATGGGCCTGCGAAGCCAGGTCCTGCTTCATAGTGGACAGGGCTCCAGCCTAGTTCAAGCATGCTTGCCCATTGAAGGAGCTTGCATTTGTTCTAGGAAATTAGATTGTTGTCCTGTAAGCTTTTCCCAGTGACTGAAGGTCAAGGTAATAGGAAACAGGATGGTGAGAGGAGAGGGACTCTAGGAGCCACCCATGACCCTGTGTAGACCCAGAACACCCCAAGAACTCACTGTCAGGCAGGCGTCTGTAAGACTGAATCCAACAGGGGCATGAGAAAGAGCCAGCACTGATCTAATCCCCTTAGTATGTCAGGGGAAGGATACTTCTGGGCTGTGGTTTGGGTGGTGCCCAGGGGCAGTCATAATACTGCTTTTATAGAGTGCTCCTACCTACAGAGTTAACCACACTCTCTGGGAGCTCGCTCTCTCTCTCTCTCTCTCTCTCTCTCTCTCTCTCTCTCTCTCTCTCTCTCTCTCTCTCTCACACACACACACACACACACACACACACACACACACACACACAGAGAGAGAGAGAGAGAGAGAGGAAAAAAAAATCAACCACTTTCCTGCTTCAACTAGCCAGGGGGAACACTGTTATTTATCAGCAAGAACACTGCCCAGCCACCAGGAGAGTTCAAAAGCAGCCTGGGCTATGTAGCAAGGCAGTATCGCAAATAAAATAAAGGCTGACTATGGCAACACACACCCATAATCCCAGCATTCAGGAGGCAGAGGCAGGAGAATATGAGCTTGAGGCCAGCCTGGGCACATGGCAAGATCCTGTATAAAACCAAACCCAACAGCTGCTGGGACAAATGAATTCTAGCTACTTCATGTGTCTAACACCCAGGCTGTAATTCAAGTTAGTTCAAAGAAAACTGCTTACTGTGACTAACAGGGACTATGGGGGTCCAGCCCCTCGACAGTCCCCTCCCAGGGTCCGGGAAGAATCTACAACCAGCTGATAATCTAATCTTTGATGATATGAAATGAATCTACGTACACGAAACTCTTAGTCCATACACTTTATTCTTCTGAATCAGTTCTCTCTCTACAAAGCTTCTATTCTGCTCTCGTGCCTAGCTCCTTTCTTCCCTGATTCCTCTCTACATTCATCTGCTGTCCCCTCTAAGTTCTAACTTAATTCTCTCATCTTAGTTCTGCCCCATCTAGGTCCTCATCCATCTAGTTCTTTCCCATATCAGCTCCTCCCCCATCTCCTTCTTCCTCATCTTGTTCTTCCTCATCTGGCTCTTCTTCATCTTCCATCTCGTTCCTCTAGTCCTCTCTTCTAGCCCTTCAATCTAGTTCTTCCCCATCTCAGTTCCTTTCTCTCCAGTTCTTACCCATCTAGTTCTTCCGTTCTCTTTTCTCTTCTCTGTCTAGTCCTCTGAAAATAAAACTGCCCTTTAATCCCTTTGACCCTTATTTTCTCCAAGCTATCTCTGCTCCTGCCATTTCTGGCAAGTGTGCTCGGTCGCTAGGCAACTTGGCTAGGCAACTTCCATCACAGCTTGATGTACCTGTAAGTTGGAACCCTTCAGTTCTGAGTTAGTTGTTAAGGGTAAATCTAAAACTAGAGAGAAGACTTGGAAAGGGAGAAAGTTAAGCTTAATTAGCACATCCGCCAGGCCTTCTCAAACAGATAGTCTGGATGCTTAAGTCTGTTCTTAGAGAATCTGTGAGATATCTCAAGCAAGAAACTTTCATCCATCCAGGGATGGTCCTGGCCAGATGCTGCCAATGACAATAATTGTAGGGAGGCTTGAAATTAGGGGTCCTGACTGCGTTACTGCGCAGGTTATCTAAATATTC